TGATTGGCTCGCATTTGTGGCCCGCTTTATATTTCCATGGGATGGCCCTTCACTGAAGAGATGCATCATTTCTATGCTGAATCCATGGTCCCCAGAGGGTCTCCTGACGAATGTGCTTCCTCTTGTCCTGGCTCTCCCGTTCTTCCAGGCATTATGTTCTGAGAGGTCTGCTCTGACTCCTTATCCATTCCCCTGCTCTCCTGTGTGAGCCCAACCATCACGCCCCCAGCTGAACCCTGAACTCCTCCTAAATGCCTGAGTGCATCATCATCCCCACTCCTCTGCCTGTCCTCCTGCTGGACTGTGAGGTCAAGCACATGAGGACTGGATTGATCTTGTTCACTTCCATATCCCTGGCATGAAGAACATGCAGTGTCCAGTACCAACGACTGGCTTTCATATACTTGTTTGAATGAATTAATGGAATGAATTCAGCTTCATATACACTCAGATATTTTTCTTCCAGACTCATGGCCTCATAATTTCAGAAAGTTTTTAATTTGTTATGATCAAGATAGTGAGAGGTCTCTGAAGAAAGTAACAGAGGAAACTACAAAGGTTAATGTGGCTTTGTCCATCATCTTTTCAGACGTTACCTATCTGTATCTCTATACCCCTATCTCTTATCTATATCTACACATGTATCTATATCTGTATCTACATATGTATCTGTCTATATCTATATCCATATCCATAACCATATGCACATCCACATCCATATCCATATCTATAACCATATCCATATCTATATCTATATTAAAGGTGATTTATATGTTCATGTTGACCAATGTCACTCCAGTTTAATAATTTTTTTAAAAGGTGAATTTTCTTCTTAAAGGATACATGTTGTATTAACTTGGAGAACAGTGTATTGGACTCACAGACTGAAATGCTTAATCTAAGCAAAGGAAACAGTATGAAACTTTGCACAGAGAATGACAAAGGGAATCTGAGGGACAGGATTGCTAAGAGCCTCCTGTGAAGGCCTCTCACACAAAACAGGTTGCTTATGACAGAGAAAGAGTTTCTAAATGTTACTGCATTTGTTTTAACAATACCTGGTATTTTTATTGCATTCCATGGATTAGGTGGTACTTTTTGGCTTCAACAGAGAAAATACTTTTTCTCTTAAAAATAACTATGGCAAAAAATAGTACAGGATATTTTTGAAGAAATGTGGTTTTCAGGAGAAACCAAGGTCTGGGAAAATAAGTAATTATGTGGGAACCAGAACAACAAAGCAAAGGTCTCCTTCACTCTCACACACACACTCACATTCACACAGAAATAGATGAAATTCACACACATTCACACCCACACTCAGACCCACATGCACACCTTCCACACGCTCACACTTATTCACTGCTATGGTCCGAATGTTTGTGTGCCCCCAAATTGGGATCCTAATGCCAAGGTGACAGTGTCAGGGGGTGGGGCCTCTGGGAGGGTGATTATGTCATGAAGATAGAGCCCTCATGAATAGGATTAATGATTTTATCAAAGAGACCCCACAGAGCTCCCTAGCCCCTTCTACCTTGTGGGGACACAACAGAAAAGCTGCAACCCAGAGGACACCCTTCACCGACCATGCTAGCACCCAGACCTTGGACTTCCAGACTCCAGAACTTTGAGAAATAGATTTATGTTGTTATAAGTCACTCAGTCTATGGTATTTTGTTATAGCAGCTTAAATGGACTAAGACCTTCACATACATGCACTTACACACATATTCATATAGACATACCCACGCCCACATCCCCACTCATATCCCTCACACGTATGAAAGACTCACACGCACTCATACACACATTCACACATACCCTTTGTACTCACACACGTATATAACACACATGCACCCACATCACTCACATACACACCCACCTCTACTCACACTCACATACATTCACACCCACACTCACAGGGACTGTGCCCATTCAACACCTGGCTGTTCTCCTCTAATGTAAACATCCTGCAAAAATGAAAGGTCACCTCACATTTCCCCAACTGCAAGAGAAACGTGCTCTCACTTTGTTCACAGACCAATGGGGTTTTACTTGGGGCTTCCTTTGGTTCCAACACCCGAAAACCCCCCGCTGCCGTGGTGGGGTGTCCCCTCATTGGGTTTCCCAGTATTAATCACAGTTAAAAAAAACCAACCCACCGCCTGCATGTCTGTGCTTCCTTTCCTCAGTGAAGTCTAATTTGGGCCCCACCACAAAGCACCTGGTCTGGCTGCAGCGTTTCTTTCTAGTCTGAGTCCCCTGTGTTGCGGCGCCACCCGGTCAATTCCCAAGCCTGCCTGAGGGCGCATGAGGAGTCCCCGGTGGGACGAGTGGGACAGGAGTGGTCCAGACAGAAGGGGCAGTGGTTTCTGCCCGGGAAAGGCTCCCTGGAACAAGCACCATAGGCCCTCTCATTGGAAATCATTTCACCTCCCTAGAGCTGTTCCCGCATTCCCCCCCAGTTTTTTGTTTGTTTGGTTTGTGCGTGCGTGTGTGTGTGTGTGTGTGTGAGGGGGGGGGGTGCGCGAGGTGGTGGTGTGTGTGTGTGTGGGGGGGGGTGCGAGGTGGTGGTGTGTGGTGTGTGTGTGTGTGTGTTTATCCTCACCCGAAGATATTTTTCCACTGATTTTAGAGAGAGTGGAAGAGAGAGGGAAAGACAGAGAAACACTGATGTCTGAGAAACAGGGCCCAGGCCAAGGAGGAGCCTGCAACCGAGGTATGAGCCCTTGACCAGAATCGAACCCGGGACCCTTCCGTCTGTAGGCCGACGCTCTATCCACTGAGCCAAACCGGCCACGGCTATTCCCACATTTGTAAAATGGGTGGTGGGACTGCATGCTGGCTAAATTCCCTTTGACGCCAGAGCCTGTGACTCGGCGGTTCTGTGGTCCAAAGCAGGCCTGCTCACCTTCGTGACTCTGGCCAGTGTTTTATTCCCACCCTCAGGTGAGTGGTCTATTTGGGGCCCTGGAAGCTGCCCAGGACTTGGCACAAAAGGACTTAGCTGGGAATGGCCCTACAAGACTGAGGACTAGACCCAACTTTCCAAGGAGCCTCTCAGACTGCATGGCCAGTGAAGGCTTTGTGGGTGCCCTGTCACTGCCACAGTCAAGTTACAGAAGCTCCCAGTGTTTGCATTTTTGATTTCTTATTCCAGCCAGTTCCAGTCCAAGCATCTACAGTTCTGGCCCCACCTACAGGAAGATTTTCTGACAGTAGGAAATGCCTACCCTGGCATGGACTGCAGACAGAGTGGAATGCTCCCTGTCGGAGGTCCCAGAGAGACATCTGTCTGCCCCGGCTAACACGGGAGCAATGTCCGTGAGAGGAAGGGTGGACTGGGAGAGGATTAAAGTCCCTTTGAATTCCAAAGCCTCATTTTATAACCTCTACTTTGTGAGGATTAGGGGCAAGATCAGAACGAGAAGCAGAGAAGAATTTGCATATGTATGTTGAAGACCTTTTGGGAGGAGAAATCTTTATGGGAAGAGGAATTTTGGGTTTAACCAGTCATTTACTTGTGAAAATGAAAACCACGAGCCAAGAACTGAGCTGGGTTCTCCTATCATAGGCACAGATATGGCTGCTCTAAACGTCTTGCTTTGAGAATTGTCTTGCTAGTACAAAATGGCTTTATTTTAAAATGAATTTTAAGCTTTGGTTTTAGTTTCAAAGTTAAGAGCTTGATTATGACTCACCATGCTATTTATAGTAGTCCCCTCTTCTACCAGACATTGTGTGTGTGTGTGTGTGTGTGTGTGTGTGTGTGTGTGTGTGTGAGAGAGAGAGAGAGAGAGAGAGAGAGAGAGAGAGAGAGAGAGAGAGAGAGAGGACAGAAAAGAGGGATAAAGAGCTTATTGATTGCCTGGCTCATTCCTTAAATCTGAAGAAGATTGCAACTCTCCAGATCGATCATGCTAACTCCATCAGGGGACCTTTTATTCCTTACTCTGACCCTTTCTGGTTTTGTGCTCACCAGCTTCATAATTCCAAAACTGTTTATTTACCCTTATCTGGGGGAGGTTTGGGGGAAAAAAGGAAGAGTACAGTGCACCTGAACACCTCTTATTATGAGCATGCTAATTAGTAGCTCAATTCAAAGAGCATTTTCTTTCAACAAAGAAAGAGTCAGGATGTAGCAGAAAGTGTTCTGGATCAGGTTTTAATCCAAGCTCTGCACTCAGTAGCTGGGTGACTTTAGGAAGGACTTCCCCTCTCTGACCCCCCATTTTTATATTTGTGAAGTGGGGATGCCTAGCACCTACCTCACAGGGTTTGGGTAAGGACTACATGAAGCGCCAGCGCCAGCTTTCAGCACCCTGAGGAACTTTGACATCTGTATAACATTAGCCACATGTCTTCTGGAAGGTTACCCTACGTCCTGCTGTTCTACTACTATTCCTGAGGAAAGCTGCTTTCCCTCCCTGATCCTATTATTTTCCGCTATTATTTGTGTTCCTGAGGTAGGGCAGCTTTCCCTCTCCCTTTTCAATGACTATAGAAAATATAGTCCTAAATATCCACATCCACAGATTTCCAGCTTTAATTTCCCCAAAAGTGCATAAGTCTGGTGGCCTGGTCACTGCTGGGCACACTGTATGCAGGAGAGAAAGGTGATAGAGGGGGCAAGAGCCAGAAGAGATGATGTAGTAGGGTCCGAGGGTGGGCATGCATAGGGGTGAAAGGGACCTTGATGAGGAAAAGATGAAGAAGTGGATGAGGAAAAGATGAGATTGTGTGGAGTCAGAGCTCCCACCCTTATCTGGCAGAAGTAAATGACACTGAGTTGAGTACCATGAAGATGTGGTTGAGATAATGAGCACCAACAAAGTCTCTGAAGCCTCACTGTGTGAAAAGGGCCTTTTTCCATCCTGAAACATACTGTTCAAATATAGAATCCTCTTTATATGTTATTTATAGCTCAATAAGAACCAAATAAAACAAAAAAACACAAATAGGCAATTCCCTTGAATTTTAAGTTGACATTGAAAACTTACCTTCCAGAAAAGAGAAATCTGTTGTCTCCTGTAGTCAGTGTTCTGTCTGATGTACCAGACATCTAATGTCCCCATAGGCTCTGATTTGAAAGGGAAAGAACATATTTTCATATATATAAATGTACATACATTATAAAACCTTTAAAAGTCAATGGCTTATTTTATAAATGATTCTGGGAGAGTAGGATTATAAGATACTTTCAATTTTCTTGTGCCCCAGTATTTTTCTTCTTCTTTTGTTAAACAATGAGCATGTATATCTTTGGCCATAGAAACCTCACAATTACCTTAAAAAATAAAATAAAATAAAATAAAGTAAAATAAAATAATGCAGAGGAAATTAGATTCCTAACTTACTCTTAAAATATATATTAATAAAATAACTCAAAACATGTGTGGTTATTTCTTTTTTATTGGAATGCATAAGGAATTATCAGCCAAAAAACAAAGACAGAAATTGTAACGAACACATTTTTTAACCCTGTAAAAGTACAAAATACAAATAATAAATTTTGTGTTAATCTCCATTCCTGACCTAATGCTGTAGTATAATTAATTGGTTTTATGACTATTAGACAAAGATCTACTTGAAAGGAAGGCCTATCTCATGTATTCTAATATTTCTCCTACCTAGCACCATACTTAGAATGTAATAGGCTCTCAATAACTCTTTGTTACATGATGAATGAACAAAGCAGGCAATATTATCTACTTGATGCTAAAACACAGGCTGAACTAATAGAAGAAATATCTACCAATCTATAAGACAATGGTCAAATATGACCTAATTTAATGTGAGAAAGTTAATCAAACATGCTTGAAAAGAAACGAAATAATCAACTCCTGTGTATTAGAGAGGGAGGGTGTGTGTGTGTGTGTGTGTGTGTGTGTGTGTGTGTGTGTGTAAGTGGACCAACCTCACTTGTTTAACAGTGACACTTAGAGTGTACCTGAGGTGAGGCTACCATAGGGTTCCTTCTGGAGTAGCAGGTTCCTTTTAACCAGATGGAAATTTCCAGAAAATTAAGTTCCATCTGGATAACAGAAGACAAGCAGCCAGGAAGAGAAGAGAAAGAGAGAAAGGAAGGGAGCACAGGCACCGGCACATACTAGGGGCAGATCCTGGGTGGGCCCATCCACAGTTAGATCTCATGTCCTCCTCACCACCGCGAAGTGGGTAGCTTCAGGGCAGCAGTTAAAGTGTTAGCTCCAGAGCCAGATCATCTACAGGCAAATCCCAGCTCTGTGACCTTGAACACATGTTAACTATGTCCTTAAGCCAGCTCCTCATCTGTCAAGTGAGGATCACAATTCTGCACACCACATGGGCTGTTGGAGAATTTAAATGCACAGAGGAGTGCTGATACATGGTAAACACTCATAAAACTTAGCTGATGTTTTTTTCTTCATTTGAAAACTAAAGTGCTGAGAGGTAAAGGAGTTGTTCAAGGTCCCAGAACTAATCAGCAGAGAAGCCGGGCTTTGAACACAGGTCTGTTTTATTTCAGAGCCTGTGATCGTCACTCTGCACCATGCAGTGGCCTGGTTCTGAGAAGGCTGATGATTTCTCTACAACACTTCCATTCCCCAGTAGGTGTGCCTCTTTCATGTTTTATTCTCTTCCTTTGTCACTTCCTTTTCCTGCCTCTCTTGCCCTCTTTTCTTTCTGTTTTATTTTCTTCTAAACATTCACTTCTTTTACTTTCCCCCTCTTTCCACCAGTGAGGACTTAGCAGTAAGAAATACATGCATAAGCCCTGACTGGTTTGGCTCAGTGGATCAGTGGATAGAGCGTCGGCCTGTGGACTGAAGGGTCCCAGGTTCGATTCCGGTCAAGGGCGTGTACCTTGGTTGCGGGCACATCCCCAGTAGGGAGTGTGCAGGAGGCAGCTCATCGATGTTTCTCTCTCATCAATGTTTCTAACTCTCTATTCCTTTCCCTTACTCTCTGTAAAAAATCAATAAAATATATTTTTTTAAAAAACGAAATATATGCATAAGACATCCTGAAACTCTCAATGCTTTAGGGTTATAAAGAATAACCCAGGAATCAAGCCAGGACTTTTATTCCTGCTAGCCCAGATGCACAAAGAGAAAAATGAACAGGCAACAGAAGAAAAGAGAACCTGACATGTATTAAATTACTATGTGCCAGGTAATATTTGGACACTTTATATACATTATCTCACTGAATCCTACACATTGCAGGGGGTGCTTGTGATTACGCATATTTTACAACTGACAAAGGTTAAATGATTTACGAAAGACATAGAGCTGGTAAATGACAAAATTGAGAGCTGAGCCTAGGTCCTCAAAGACCCTGCTCTTCCATTACAGCTCATTATGTGGAGCAAAGATATAAACACTTCACAAATCAGGTAATCTGGACATTGACACATAATCAGGATATGGTCACTTGGGTGTGCTCAGTGGCAAAGCCAACTGACTTGTACCGAAGCACTAAATGTCTTCAGTTAATTACATATTGGTAAGAAATTTAAAGGAAAACTCATTGCCTCATTAAAGATCTACAACCTTCCATATTATTACAGAGCCAAAACCCAAATTCTAGAATCATAGTCTCTTCAAAGGAGAAATTGCAAGTGAAACTGAAATTTTAATGGTGGCCACCTGCAGTGTAAGTCACTATGGGAGAGAAATCATTAGTTGAATCTATATGAATTTCAAAGTGTAGAATTTCATGACCAAGGGTGTCAAACCACTACTGTTTAATGCAATGTAAGGGCTAATATTAAAGAGAATCTCTGATAGTCAACTTTCACAAAATCACTTAAAATTCTAACCACAGTGTCATCTAGCAAAAGACATATTAAAGATATTATAGGCAGGTGGGAAGAGGAAAGTCAAAGGCCCATATATCAAAGTGATTTCAAAACAAATGGGTACAGCCCTGGCTGGTTTGGCTCAGTGGATAGAGTGTCAACCTGTGGACTGAAGGGTCCCGAGTTCGATTGCCGGTCAGGGTACCTGCCCAGGTTGCAGGCTTGATCCCCAGTGGGGGGTGTGCAGGAGGCAGCCAATCAATGATTCTCTCTCATTTTTGATGTTTCTAGCTCTCTCTCCCTCTTCCTTTCTCTTTGAAATCAATCAATCATCAATCAACAAACAAATGATTGTAAACAATTATTAGATTAATCTTTAAAAAAAAACCAAATGGGTACAAATGATTAATATACAAATATTGTGAAATGGAAGTCAGCTTTCCTGAGATAAAACTAGCTCCAATATAAAGGGGAAAATAGTAGGGTTAACTAGAGTCACCAATATGAAATAAAAAGAAAGATCCTAAATTAAGCAGGAGATTGGCCTAAATGACTTAAATGACCTCAAGGATTCTTTCAACTCTTAAATCCCAGGATTCTAGGGTTCTATGAAACTGTATGTGTGGCAACCAAATCAGAGCCAAGCCATTGTTCCTCTCAGCTCAGCATCTATCTCTGAAGCCAAGGTAGTGCAGGGCTGGGGACAATAGCAACTGAATCGGGTGGAAAGCAGTTCGACCACAGAGGTTTTAGCAAGCAGTGAAGAGAAGAATCAGGAACAGTGAAAACAGAGAATTTGACAAACAGTAAATACAGAAAAGACATATCTCAACTTTCAGGTAGTGGACTAAGTGAAATGCACAAAATTTTTTTGATCCCAGTCATTTTCTAAGCAGGGCAAGAGAGAGAAGTCATTCACTGCCTTGGTTTCACGATGTCCCCTCGTTAGGCTGTGCTACATTTCTCTCATTTATCTAAAATTTAGTTTCAAACAATTCAATTCAAATAGAACGTACAAGTGCCTACTTGATTAAACAAATTCTCAGTGATAGGTTCTTGCCTTCAGATGTTATCATCTGCTGTGCCTGCATTCACTTCTTCCAGGGTACATGTTGGGCTTAAAGGAGACCAAAAGAAGACAAAAGGGTAGGGACTGGCATTGGATCTCAAACAAAACATTTTCTTTCTAATGAAAATGTTTGCACGTAAGTCCTTTAGGAACAGTGATGGCAAACCTAGGACACACGTGTCAGAGGTGACACGCGAACTCAGTTTTTTGGTTGATTTTTCTTTGTTAAATGGAATTTAAATATATAAAATTAATATCAAAAATATGTCTTTGTTTTACTATGGTTGCAAGTATCAAAAAATTTCTATATGTGACACGGCACCAGAGTTAAGTTAAGGTTTTTCAAAATGCTGACACGCCAAATGCAAAAGGTTCGCCATCACTGCTTTAGATGGTAAAAAGCCATTCATTCTCATTTCCTCAAGTTTTAAGCAAGAAGGCACAAGTATGAAACTTTCAAGTTTAGCTAGTTTAGGACTCAGCAAACTATGGCCCATGGACCAAATCTGGCACATTCCCTGTTTTGTACAGCCTGTGAACTAATAATAATGGTTTTTATATTTTTAAATGGTTGAAAACAAATTTTAAAAAATAATTTTCAGGGAGAAACCAAGATGGCGGCATAGGTAAACACCAGAAATTGCTGCCTCCCACAACAAATTCAAAAATACAACTAAAAGACAAAACGGACATCATCCAGAACCACAGGAAGGCTGGCTGAGTGTAAATTCTACAACTAGAAGAAAAGAGAAAAGCACACTGAGACTCAGAGGAGGTGCGGAAGTGCAGAGGTACGGAGGCGCATGCAGCAAGGGCTGGCAACTGAGGATGTGGCTGTCTTTTTAAATCGGGAGGGAGTAACAGGCCCCTGACTGCTCTGAACTCCAGTTCCGGGTGAGTCTCTGGGGACCCAGACTCATACAGGGAGAAACTGGACTGTCTGGCAGCAGGCAGAACTTGGAACTCGAGGGCGGCTTTCTCTCAAAGGTGCTTGCAGCAATTACCGGGACACTGAGACGCGGGGCCCCTTAGGGCAGATCTGAGGATCAGCCATAGCTTCTTGCTCTGCCCTGTTGATTCCCTGAGACCCCGCCCCACCCAAGCTGCAGCAGAGACTCTTGCATATGAATGCCCTGGCCCTGTGCAATCTGAAAATTACCTAACAAACTGAAGCTGGGCTAGACAGACCCAGAACTTCCAAGAGGAGGCCCAAGGCCCCACAGCAGCTTGCATTGCTTCACAGCTGGGCCTCATTTGGGCACCTCCAAACCCCAAACAAGGAAGGGGAATCTGCAAATCTCTTCATAGCTCCTGCTGGGTAGCCTCAGGCAGAGGCTAAATTAACACCTCCTTAGATCCAAGAGCCAGTGTACCCAGTGGTCAGAGTGGGACCATCCAATTACAACTCCTCAGATCTATAAGGGACACACTCAGGGGGCAGACTCAGTGAGCACCAAAGCCCCATTGAAGCAAGTCTTGCCTCATAAGGGTGTCTTCAGCACAGAAGTTCTCCCACCGTAGACACAGCTGACTCTCACAGCCAGTTGGCCTGGAGGTCAAGTCCTCCCAGTGATACCTACAACAATTAAGGCTTAACTACAACAAGACTGTGCACACAGCCCACAAAGGGGTGCACCAAGAGTGTCCACCTCAGGTAATTGGGGAGGCTGAGCCACTGGGCCCTATAGGACACTTAGCACACAAAGCCACTCTACCAACACAGGGAAGCATAAAAAATGTGGAGACAAAGAAACAGATCACAAATGACAGAAATGGAGGAAAGCAAATGACTGGATATAGAGTTCAAAACCACACTTTTAAGGTCTCTCAAGAACTTTCTAGAAACCGCCGATAAATGTAGTAAGCCCCTCAAAAAGACTGGTGAGACTGCCGATAAATGTAGTGAGACCCTCAAGAAATCTAGTGAAACCCTCGAGGTTATGAAAAAGGACCAACAAGAAATTAAGCATACACTGACTGAAATAAAGGATATTATGCAGAGTTCCAACAGCAGACTAGAGGATCGTAAGAATCAAGTCAACGATTTGAAATACGAAGAAGCAAAAAACACCCAACCGGAAAAGCAAAATGAAAAAAAAGAATCCAAAAATACGAAGATAGTGTAAGGAGCCTCTGGGACAGCTTCAAGTGTACCAACATCAGAATTATAGGGGTGCCAGAAGAAGAGAGAGAGCAAGATATTGAAAACCTATTTGAAGAAATAATGACAGAAAACTTCCCCTACCTGGTGAAAGAAATAGACTTACAAGTCCAGGAAGCCCAGAGAACCCCAAACAAAAGAAATCCAAAGAGGACCACACCCAGACACATCATAATTAAAATGCCAAGAGCAAGAGACAAGGAGAGAATCTTAAAAGCAGCAAGAGAAAGACAGTCAGTTACCTACAAGGGAGTACCCATACGACTGTCAGCTGATTTCTCAACAGAAACTTTGCAGGCCAGAAGGGAGTGGCAAGAAATATTCAAAGTGATGAATACCAAGAACCTACAACCAAGATTACTTTATCCAGCAAAGCTATCATTCAGAATTGAAGGTCAGATAAAGAGCTTCACAGATAAGGAAAAGCTAAAGGAGTTCATCACCACCAAACCAATATTATATGAAATGCTAAAAGGTATCCTTTAAGAAGAGGAGGAAGAAGAAAAAGGTAAAGATACAAATTATGAACAACAAATACACATCTATCAACAAGTGAATCTAAAAATCAAGTGAATAAATAATCTGATGACCAGAATAAACTGGTGATTATAATAGAGTCAGGGGCATAGAAAGAGAGTGGACTGACTATTCTTGGGGGTGAGGGGGGGAAGGGGTGTGGGGGATGCGGGAAGAGACTGGACAAAAATCGTGCACCTATGGATGAGGACAGTGGGGGGCGGTGAGGGCGGAGGGTGGGGTGGGAACCGGGTGGAGGGGAGCTATGGGGGGAAAACGGAGGAACAACTGTAATAACCTGAACAATAAAGATTTAATATAAAAAAAATCATTTTCAGTGACATGAAAATGATATAAAATTCCTCCTGGGTGTTCTGAGTGGTGAGGGATCACTTCCCCCCGGAGCTTGAGCATATTATTCTCAGGCCTGTCTGGACACCATGCAGCCCAAATTCAAAGTGTTTTTCCACTAGACACAAAATATGGTTGCTCAATTCCCAGTATCAATCCTGCCTTTAATGGATGATTGTGGGACACAGAAAGTGGTTTCTTTCCTCCTACACCTTACTTAGTGGTCATTTGAAAAGTGTTTCTCATGGAGGACCATTACTGGAGTTAAATTGAATGACATAGGAAAAGGCCATACGGAGTAAATAACGACCTAATTTCCTGCTGATATGATATAAATAACTGTGCCCAATCCACCAGGAGACAACATTTTGCTCTCAGTTTTGGTAGCAAAGTATTATTTGGTTTTAGAGTGACATTTAAAAAAAAAGCTTACTAGTAATTTTTTTAAATGCCAAGTTACATATGAGTCTATATTTAAAGGGTTAAAAGGAAGGCGTGTTAAAAAAATTTCACACCTTTTAGGTTTACATCAGTTGGTGTTTCATAAAGAAACTGATGACAGAAATAGTGGTAAAAGGTGAAAACCATGCAGCTTAGAGTAAGAGAAAAGAAATCCTACAACAACCCACAGAAAGATCAAACACCAAAAAGGGAGATTCAGACATTGAAAGGAAGCCAACAGAGCTTGGTAACCGTGGTATATCTCAGAGTATAGGTTTCTCTCTTTATGAATGCCTGCAATTACTCTGAAAGAGCCAGCTTTCTTGGTTCAATTCACAACCATCCACAAATTCTTAACCATAACAAGTTGCTGCACTCATTGTTATGATAGTGGTTTATTTGATAAGACATGAGAAAGTTACTACTGTCCTACCTTGAAGGGTTTTTAATTCAACATATAAACACAAGAAAAGAAAACCCTTTTAACAGGTCATTACCAAAGGTGAGTAAGAATGACAAGAATTCACAAACCCAGAGTTTCCCTTGTTTATAGTTTAGACTCATGTAATATAACAAATATTTACTACCTTGAACTTAGAAAATATGGCCCATTTTCAAGAATTTTATCTGTACTGTGTATAAATAAAATCAACTCCATGAAGTACTTCTAAAAAATTCATTGACTATGTGTAATGCAAGGATAATAAAAATAAGCTCTGGATTATGAAAATGGCAAGCATTTAAGCAGACAGCAAGTGGCTCAACGAGATTTAATTTACGAGATTTTTATTATGAAATGAGAGGAAATAAATTCTAACTTGTTGAATGATTTCATTTTTAAACATTTTTTTAAAATAGAAGTAATGCGATTCATACAAGAAGAGGGGAAGAATATACAATTATCTCAAGAATTATATTTTATTAATAGGTCCTTTAGGTGCTTGAATGTCATTGAAGAATCATTGATAAGTGTCATCAATTACCAAAAGCCATTACTAGCTCACAGAAAATGAATGTAACTTAATCACAAGGTTAGTTCATATGCACACAGATCCGTAAGTTTCCACAAGTAAGTATTAATATTACAAAACCGCAAGATAATAAAGCAGTGTATTATATGCTAATAATTTTTCCTGAGCCAAATGTACACAAATTATGAAAAGTCCATGCTATATAACTAATTGAGAGCTTTTGAATACTAATATTCAGGTGGCTATTTCTTTTGTTTCCCAAGATTTGTTAATTACTGAAATAATGCTCATATAAGCATTTTTGCCCTAATAAAAATATTTTTATTATATTTCAGTAAAATTACCTTCCCAATGATTACCAAATATAAAAGCCCATAAGACTGCAAAATACATTTGATATCCTTTTCATAGCTATGGACAGTCTACTGGCACTCATCTGAGCAGGGAGTCAAAGCCTGGAAGAAGGACAATGCTGCAGTATTTGAAGGAGAAAGATGGCTGGATGTTAAATTTTACTTTAAAATATTATGTGTCCAGAATCCTCCTTCTTTCAAGCTTTTAGTGGCTCACAGAGCCAAATTCATTTTCATAGAATCCAAACAGTAAACTGAATCAAGGTTTAACTATGAAAGAATGAAATTAATTACTGGTTTAGCTCTGTAACTTAAGAGAGAGAGAATTACTGAGATGGTAAGTAAAAAAATAATAAGTGCAATAAAAATAGGAAGTTATAACCAAAGATTACTGAGGCTTAAGCTTGTCACCAACATGACATGTGCCAAACAGGAGTAGGACTTACCTAATGTTAAATATTTCCTAGCAATATAAACAGATCTCTCTGACAGTTTCAGAACTTAAGTTCATGTGGAAATTAACTTGTTAATTAATGCAATCATACTCTTTGACTCAGTATCAGTACTTTAGCGACTCTATTCCAAGGAAATCATTGCATCTTCTTCTTTCCCTCCATCCTTTCTCTCTGCCCCCACCCCACCGCATTCCTGTTTTGTTTTTTTTGTTTTTTGTTTTTTTGACACATACCTTCTTCTGGCGTTTGCATTCTCAATGATTCACTCCAGTCACTCCAACTGCCTTTATAAAGATGTAGTTTAGAGGAAACCTGAAATTCATAATCTGTGAATGGTTTCAGATCCAATAAATCATGTCTTCCTTTGGCATTTGTAGTATTAACCTTCAAACAGACAAGATTTTTAAAGTGCATATTAATACTCTATTAATTTAAAGAATTTTAACAAAAAGGTAAAAAACTAGACCAGGTAACTCATTTTTTTTTTTCAGATCTGTCATTCAATGAGAAGATATATCAATGGCTGGGTTATTGAATACACTGAAATAATACTGTTTTAGAATAAACAAAACAAAAATATCTCCTGATATTAAGAACCTATCTATGTAAGTTCCAAGAGGATTCCTAAAACTAGCTGAAAAGGAAGTATAAGTTGAAAACTACCAATTTTCATAAAGGCCTTGGAGAATTTTCTACATTTGATCACAATTAGAATGTGATGCATATTTTAATACTTATAAAGACATAGAACTGGGTTCAAACAGAAAACTTTAATTATATAAAAATATTTAAGAAATTTAGTTACTGTACCTCTCTTGAATATCAGCTGTATATGAAACTGATCCTTTGTCATTATAAGACATTATAGTTTAGATCTAGCTGGTTTGGCTCAGTGGATAGAGTGTTGGCCTGCAGACTGAAGGGTCCTGGGTTCAATTTCTGTCAAGGGCACATGCTGGGTTGAGCGCTTGATCCCCAGTAGGGGGTGTGAAGGAGGCAGCCAATCAATGATTCCCTCTCATCATTAATGTTTGGTTTTTTTTTTTATCTCTTTCTCCCTTTCCCTTCCTCTCTGAAATCAATAAAAATATATTTTAAAAAAGACATTATAGTTTATAAAAATACTGGAAGAAATTATAATCCTATACTTTTTATTGTAAAAAAAAAAATAATGCCTAATATATCAAAGTGTGGGGCTTTAACTTTGGAATATTAAATTCCACATAAACTTCTGTGGACAGACCCTAATATTTCTGTTTCTAATATGTTAAAAAATTACTAAAAAGTAATAATAGGGCAGGGGTTAAAAAAAAAATACTCAAGGAGAAATGAGCCCTTTACTAGACACAAAATATAGAAAATTAATACTGGTCTACAGAAGCTTGCCACTTAAAAAATCAGTGATCAGAATTCAAGATATTTCTTGATAAATAGAGGTATATCTGGCTTTCTGGTATAACTCAAGTATATACTTTAAACTACATATTTCGCTGGTATGAAAAGACAGAGGTCTGTGCAGTAATATCAAGAACCCCTCCCTGTTTTCCCCTTTCACTCCAAAAACCATTACCATATTCCAGGACCTGCTGTTACTGGGCCGATATCTGAGTCGATTAAACAGCACCATCCCCTCATCTCTCCACTGAAGAGTACACCTGCTCACAGAATCATTTGCACATTTGATTCTGATGTCCCACGGAGGAAGAGGCCTCACTGGTAAACAGGATAAACAGAAAGGTGTGATTCAGGCTCCACAATCAGAAGTTGTCTTATGTATTCACATGAGCTATAAAGAGTTGAACAAAATTCATCTCTAAGATGCATGACCACCCAATTTGGTGAAATAAACAAGAGAGAAGTCCCTGGCTTTTAGAAAGAAGAAAAAGTTTGATTCACTTCTAAATCTTTAAAATAATTCCTCTTAATCTGCCCTCATTTTTACCAAATAAACTACCACCGACAGCAACGATAGTGTTGATTCCACTGAATTCAATGATTTAAAAAAAACAAACAATGTGCCAAATCTGAGAGTCCCAATGCTGAGTTAGAGGTGGTTAGAGGTGATCCCCTCAGGAAGAGAAGAAATGTTGGTAGAAAAGTCACCAGAAGGGGATATAAGAACAGGGGAACAGAAGAAAAGAATAAGAGGGAAGAAGGTGGCTTAGAGATACCTATGTAAAGAGATGCAAAGTAGATGGGGAGAAGTGTGGTAGGAAAATGCATATTAAATGCCTATGTTCAGACTTATAGTTAGCAGTGTGTATGCAAAGAGGTGCTGTGGGAAGAGAGAAGAGAAACACATAGTGTGAGGCTGGGACTTCAGGCAGGCCAGAAACCCAGTTCTACCTGGGATGGGCAGAATCTGGGAATGCCTGGGATTGGTCTTTGATTCATCTGGGCCAATTATATTTGCTCAGAAATGTGCTGGGACTAGCTCATTCCAGCAACCACGCAGAGAGGAGCAGAGGTAAGTACTCACAGAGCGAGGTGCACATAAACCTTGATCCATTTTATTTATAGTTTGCACCAGCTGCTCCAGAGCTGCAGGCCTACATGTAGCCTAACTCAGAAGAGTGGAACAGCCATGGGGGTAAAAAGACATCTCTACCAAGAATGGCCTACACTGAGCTTCTTGAGATAACCTCACAGGACCCTCTCTCAGACAGCTGGTGCCTTCGTGGGATTGAAACCAGGGGCTCCTGTTTGTCCAATATAGAGAATAATGTTGACTTTTATACAACCATCTCTATATAGCTCCAGGATCATGCACCCTTTTACCTGCATCAAAGTAATGTTTATCCTATGCCTATGCCTGTTGGTCACTTTCCATCAACCACTGCCTCTTTTGAAACAATCACATATAGGACATTCAAGTGATTTTTGAAATAATGTTCATGTGCCAACGTATGACACCTATAAAAAGTGAAATAAAATGTACCTATGTCCAAGAATGTGAATGTGGATGGAAATGAAGAAGCATTTCCAAGATCACTGATGGTAGTAACCCTGGCTGTGTAACTGGATTCAGGTGATTCCAGGGATAGGTTGATTCCAAGGTCCAAATGGTCACAGTAATAATCATTACATGTCTTCTGCCAAGTTAAATTTTTTGGTCCATTTAACCTGTGAATAAGAGACATCTGTGTTTAGCAGGATACGTTATGTGCTACTTCCCCCTTTTAACACAAAAGAACGAAACTTTCAAATATTTAAAATTCTAGACATATTTTTAGGGTCAGTCTTATTACTAGAGGGTACACTATGGAAATGTTTGTATTCTATGATCATAAATAGGACCATAGTTCCCCCTCTCCCTTTGTTTGGTAGGACTGAGATTTTTTTTTTTTTTTTTTTGACATTCATAGAGATGAGTAAGCATCCCTACACTACCCGAATTCCCCAAACCCTTTCTGATGTCTTGGTTCCTTAGGTCAGATCCAAAGGATCCATGGTCCACCTTGGCATTTACTGCACAGAAGTGCCAGTTTCTAGTACAGACCAGAACCCTGGGGCCCACTTCCTTTCCCCATCTGCTGCTCACTTAGGCACAGTGCAACCCAGCGGGATCTTTGGATGGGATTATGGAATCAACTGCAAGAAACAGAAACTCCCAGACTCTCTCTGTGGAGCGCTCGTGCAGGTCAAGGTGCTTCGAAAAGAAACTCTCCCAGGCTGATGGAAAGCTCCACAAGGAAGAGCCTATTTATATATCATGACCACAAGAGTCTGCGAGAAAAGGTATATAAGGCAGCCAGTTTAACCCTCCTAGAGCAGGGAAGAATGTGCAAAAAATTGGCCTTGGATGCCCTGAAGAGAGCTCTGAGTTAGACCTCATACCCATGCATCAGTTCCCACACTGTAGATGAATGAACCAGTTTTCATTTATGAACGCTAGCATTTTTTAAAAAAACATCTAATGACCTAGAGCTGTCTACTGCTTCTTCTCACCGGTTAAACTAGAACTATTAGGTATTTCTCAATGTCATACAGAGACCCCCAAAAACCTGCAAGAACAGTCTCTCACTCACTGTAAAGTATACGCAGTAGGTAGGTGGGTGTCTCGTCCTCTGTCCCAGGTGCAGGCCACAGTCCCACGTTCTCCCTTCTGTGTGCATGATAAGTTTTGAGGCTGTTCTGGAACAACTTTAAAAATAAAGAGCAAAGCCATATATTTGAAATGCCACACAAGTGATAATTCAATCACATTGTTATTATTTGTCAACAAGATAACAATACTTTCTCTCTATATCCCATCCCAGACAAGCTGGTAGCTATGTTAGATCCCATCAAGTTCAAATTTGCCTCCGAGGCATGAATTTCTTCTACTAACAATAGTAATAATAGTGGCTATGAGCAAACACTATATGCCAAGTCCTATGCTAAGTGTTTTATGTGCGGTTTTTCTCAAGTAGACGTCACAGCAGCTACACTATTATTATCCTCGCTTCATTGAAGAGGAAACTAAGACTTAGAGGTTAAGTATCTTGCCAAAGATTACAAATCTATGAAGTGGCAGAAGCAGGGCTCCAGCCTAGGAGTGGCTGACTTATGTCCAAGCCTTTCACCACATTTTACTATTCTCCCTGGCAGGTGAATACCCAATGCTACCTCCATGGCCCCAGTGACGATGAGTTTACCTTTCCAGAATAAAGTCCACTTAATATGACAAATCTTTACAAATCGGGGGCTCTTTTTCTCCATTGAACTGAAATGTACTGCCAAGACATTGCTATCCATTGGCCCTACTCATGTCCTTCTGAGCTGTACCACCTAAATCTAATTTCTGCAGCTTTACTTGGAGTACATACTTCATGGACATTTATAAATTAATTATTTAAATAGACACTGAGTAGTTTCCATGGGCTAGGCTGCTTACTCTCTCACTAGGTAGGGTTACTCTTACTACACTCGGTGAAACCAACATTCACTGTGTCTTTTCTTGGAATGACTAGCTATATTCAGAAAAAGGTGTTGCTTCCAGTCAGTCCTTGACCTCAAAGGTGTTAAACTTGCTCAAAGAGCAGCCATTTCATGGTGTGGTTACGCCTTGAGCGCGTTGCACAAGCAACATTCCGGCAGGCAGGCAGCACCACCCAACTGAGCTGCACCTGACAGATCTCCTCCCCACCTCCCTAGATCCGCTGCTGCTGCAGACTGTCACAAATGCATGCTGTGGATGGAAAAGTAAAATATGAAAAGGACTTGCAGCACTCCAATGTATCTGAGCAAAGACAGGAAATGGAACAAAGTGGCTAAGGATATCGACAAGGATACCGACTTCCAAGGCCATTGTTAGGCCACCAAAAAGAAAAACAACAACAACACAGCAGCACTGCGGACTCCTGGAACTGACATCACAGCTGGGAATGTCTAATACAAATACGGAATGTCAGTCTGTAAGATGGCAAGTTACTTGGGTGAAAAATTCAGGAGTTCTGAAGACAAGGGAGGTGAGGATCATTGGCGTTTTTTAGAAAAATTTTCATTTTGTCTATAACCAATGCTTATGCTTTCTCTTAAGGGAAAGGAGAGAGTAAAACTGGACAGATGTGCAATCTCCGCACTCATGACCTATGTACCTCCTATGTGCCTGGTACTAGATGAAGCACTTTGCGTACAAGGTGTCATCTAATCACTGAAACCATCTTATGAGATAGGTGGTAGTATCTCCATAATGCAGAGGGAGAAACTGAGGCTCAGAGAATTGAAATTGCCGAAGGGTACATTGCTGGTGGCAAGGTTGGAATTCAAAGCCCAGGCTCCTCTTATGACACCACAGGCTGTCAGAGCTGAGAGTACATGATCCATTAGGGTGGGGACAGGAGACTGAACTGAAAGAGGAGCACTGGGCCTAGTTTATGTCTCTTTGTCCCCCAGTGATTTGTTTGGCCATTGCTTGGTGTTCCGCTCAATGCTTCTGGGGACCCTCCAGGAAGACTGCCTGGCACCAACCATATCTTTATAGGTCACAGAGAAGAGGCTTCACCTTTGCAGGAAAGAGCCTTATTGAGGTCTATATCACTGTTTTTATGACGGAGACCCTGTCCTTGCATTTGGTCAGCCTGCTGTAGCAACTGCTCCTACTCTCTTCATGCCTCTCACCTGCTACTCTGGACCTTCCCTGGAACCACAGGGGCACAAAGCACCACAGGATCTCTCAGGACCCATGTATGCTCACTGGTTTGTCTGGGTGGGCCTTTAAGGCTGCAGGCTGCAGACTGCAAGCTGCAGGTAGGTCTTCTGCTGGCTCACTCTGTGCACTGTGGCTCATGCTACAGATGCCAACTGTGACATCTTAGCTCTTATTCCCAGCAGCTGCCTGGAGGGACCCGCTGTGTAAGCCAGCAGTAAGGGGCAGTTGATGCTCTGACCACAGGCAGACACTTAAAGTCTTCTCTCTTTCTCCTGTCATTGCATTTCCATATGCTCTTTCTGGGGATGTTCCTAGTGACCAAGCAACCAGCTGTATTTTCTGATGCCTCTGTGACCAGCTCAGGAACTTAACCACCTTGTGTTTGCTTTGCTACTTTCCTGGCTCCCTTACTCTTGCTTCCCTGGAACTATCCAACTCTTTTCCCCCTAGGGAGTGTTAGCATGTCAGGTTTACCCTAGGCAATTTTCAAGGAAAGATAAATATAATGATAGTTTTCTTTTAACCTCTGCTAAGTATGATGATCAGTGGTCAGGAGTGACTATGGGTGGAAGAACTATTTTTTGTACATAAAGTTAGAGAGGGGAGAAGTGTTCAGCCTTGGGTAGGCAGCCTGGGCTGCATAAGTCCAAAGAGACATCTCTTTCTTCTTTTCAGGAGGTTGTAGTTTTGAACAAATTCTCAAAGTCAAGAAGGCATGAAGGTTGCAGAGATCCATTTTCCTGCCATTGCCGTCCAAGGACAACAGGTAAATGGTGTTAATGGGCAGAAATGGGAGGGAGGAGAGGGACGGAGGGAAGGAATAAGAGAGAGAGGAAATAGAGCCTTACGAAACGAGACCCCAATTTCATAGATTTCTGGACTTCTCACATTGAGGTGCTCATGTTCTATCAAGATAAAATATATCCACATGGTGGGAGAAGAAAGAACACAGTCCTATACTGGGCTTTCTGCTTAACACAGGACAAATACCAAACGATCACCAATTTTTAGGAATTCAGAATGGAATGCTCACCACCAACTGAGATCTCTGCCCCACATATCTGGATCTCCTCACTACTGCCGCAGGCCAGTTTGCAGACAAACACTGTTGTGCCCAGAGGAAGACCTGAGACCTGCAAACTGAGGGAGTGGCCATGCTGGAACTTTATTTTTTGGTGAAACTTGTAGAGGCTTAACTTGTTAAAATTGGAATATGGAGAGCAGCCTTGCTTGGGCTTTAAAGAGCATGACATGTTGACAGCAGATCCAAGTGGGAGGACACGGGAAGGCTCCACAGTCACATCTCCTCTCTTGCACACATCTGCTGTGAGACACAAAACGCAATACTTTCGTTGGCATATAAGCAACCCATTCCAAAATGGAGGGTTCATTAATTCCCCAAATGCAGGGCAAAATGAACCCCACCAAATCCTGGAAATATAAATAACCTCCATTGCTCTGGCTGTATTGGTGATGCACAATGAGAACAGAAGGCCACCATATTAAAGTCTAACTGAATTAAAACATGCATTCCTCTCAAAACAGTAATATTAGAACCAGAACTATAAATAGGAAAGTGGTGAGAAAATAGGGTTGGAAGAACATTCAAGAACACAGTTCCAGGAAAAGCCAATCTCTCTGTATGTAAATTATTCACCAGACTACTAAAAAGTACTTCCCAGAATAAATCACATTTGTTTCCATTCCCATTTATGATTTATGATGCTTACTTAAATACTCATTCCAAAAAGAGACAATTTTAAAAGGCTATTACAAACTTTAGGGACAGATTTTGGAATAGTTCCCTCTTTTATTATATTAGTGGTATAAAGTATGTGTAATCTATAACATTATTTTATAACAGAAAATATTCAGGGGCTCTGGTATATTTGTAGTTGGCAACAAAGATAGAAATTAGGTCTTACAGTGCCATATTTTGATATTCCTTTAAGATATAAGACCTTGGGCTAGATGAACCATTACCCAATACAGCTAATATGAAAAAAAGAGTTCTCCATATTATTTACTATATGTCAGTTACCACATTAAACTCTTATTTAAAAGAGAGGTCATTATTATTACTGAAGTTTTTGTATAAATAAATATGACAACTATTCAGAATTAACAGTTTTTGGTGGTACTTAGTAATTGCCAATTTAAAAAAAAACCCTCAGAATTATAGATTCGCCCTGAATTTTTAGATGTGATATAAAATATTCACTGAAAGTCTTTTATTTTTGGCAGGGGAGGTAATTGTAAGATTTCTTGGATCAACTACCATAAATAGAAATTGATGTAAAAAAAACATGTTATTTAAATCAAATAAAGGAAGTACTGAAAATTCTTTTAAAATAAAAAGTTCTCACTTCTATTTACAGAACTAAAACTACATCTTTCTCTTATCTTAGTTATGTTTGTTTTCTGCTTGTTTGATATTCTTTGATCCTAATAGGCCAGAAAGTAAAAAATAAGCTCCCAATAGAAAGAAGCAAAGAAAATGCCAGCCACCACTTTTAGAAAATAGCTGACTTCAACCATAAATACCCTTTTAGAATCTATACTAATAGATTCCAGACATCTTCCGGATGTCCTTCCAGACAAAGCCATGGTGATGGGGGCCAGGGCAGAGGTGATCAGGCTGGCAGGGGAGAGCAGTTAGAGGCAATCAGGCCAGCAGGGGAGAACAGTTAGGGGTGATCAGGCCAGCAGGGGAGAGCAGTTAGGAGTGATCAGGCAGGCAGGCAGGCAGAGGCAGTTAGGGGCGATCAAGCAGGCAGGAGAGCAGTTAGGGGTCATCAAGCCGGCAGGGGAACAAAAAGGGGTGATCAGGCAGGCATGCAGAGATGGTTAGGGGTGAGCAGGCAGGGAGGCAGAGAGGTTAGGGGTGATCAGGCAGGTAGGCAGAGGCAGTTAGGGCCGATCAGGCAGGCAGGGAAGCAGTTAGGAGCATCAGGCAGGCATGCAGAGTGGTTAGGGGTGATCATGCAGGGAGGCAGAGTGATTAGGAGCAATCAGGCAAACAGGCAGGTGAGCAGTTAGGAGCTGCCAGTGGTCCCAGATTGTGATATGGATGTCCCATTGCCGGTTTCGGCTCAATCCTGCAGGGATCGGGCCTAAACAAGCAGTCAGACATCCCCCAGGGGGTCCTGGATTGGAGAGGGTGCAGGCCAGGCTGAGGGATCTCCCACCCCATGCACGAATTTTGTGTACTGGGCCTCTCGTACATTATAAGGTAAAACATTCGTTCATGATGCTGAGCTTGGCTACCTAGCCATTTTCAAGAGGAAATGTTATCACTGAACTTTTAATCATTAGTACAAATTAAATAAAATACATGTTACATACATAGAACCAGATTATCCACTTACATGGTAGATTGACTACAAAAGACCAACTACCAGAACATTTACCACAAGTGCATATTTTTAATCTGTAACTGAGAATTTAAACCACAAATCCTTCCACAGATAGATTACAGGAATATCTTACCTATTGTTGCTTTAACCAATGGCGACATGACAAAAATAAGTGCCAAATAGCATGTTCTAACTATATGTGCCATGAACTGTCACCTCTGGAATACACCTCTATATTTTTCCTGTAAAAGAAGACAGATTCATTCATGTTAAAGACATTTAAAAAATACCAGAACCAACATCATTTAGAAGTGCTTAAAATGGCCTTTTAATTTTCTCCATATTGTTAAGATTTTGCTTGTTATTTTTTAAATAATGAAGTGTATCTTTAAAACTAGTAAATTGAAAAATCTTAGTCATCTCTAACCCCCACGTCATTTAAGTTTCTTGGGGTCAGCAAAGGGTGGGAGAAGAGCCGTGGCTTTTGGAGTCCTTTAGAACTGGGTGTAAATACTTTGCGACTATTGGCAAGTCACTTAACTTTCTAAGCCTCAATCCTACACATTTTTTTTCTTCCAAACATGTTGCCTCATCACAGTCAAACACAATAGTGTGAAATTCCAAGACTAATGAGAATTTCTGACCTAGTCACCTACTTCTGGAAGAGATTAAAAGTAGCTCATAACACCCACCCTCCCCCCCCCCCCACCCCCCCCCCCACCCCGCACGCACGCGCACCCACACAGCTTGGAACTTTGTAAAAGATTGATCTCTTTGACAGTAGGAGAAAAAGTCTATGGGTTCTAAAGAGGGCTGTTGAGGTTTTCTATAAAAGTTCAATTTTACTTGTGTGTTTGCTTGTTCATATATTACTATTTTATGGAGTATTTTCATCTTGAATGGTTTGGAAAATGCAAGCTGGTGATTTCTGATTGTTTCCAAATGTAAATCTAAGGAATGGCTCTACTAGTCATTAGCAAATTATCTAAATTCTATTAAAAGTGGGCTTTCACAAAGTAAGATGGAAAGTTCCCTGATGTCAGGCCACCGGGAAACAGCCATTCCAAATGTTCACTTCTTATCCCCATACCTAGAAACGTGCCAGAGCATGCTATAGAGCCTCAGAAAAATTCACTTCTTCATTCAATGATGCCAGCCACAGTGTTAACTGCTAGAAACAACAGTCTTGCCCTAATGGGCTTCCCTATGCCTACTTGCTCCTTTAATGCCTAGTCACACTCAGGGTAGCCCCAAATAATATCACTATCTTTTCTGTTTTTTAAAATATATTTTATTACTTTTTTACAGAGAGGAAGGGAGAGGGATAGAAAGTTAGAAACATCGATGAGAGAGAGAAACATCGATCAGCTGCCTCCTGCACACCTCCTACTGGAGATGTGCCCACAACCAAGGTACATGCCCTTGACTGGAATCAAACCTGGGACCTTTCAGTCTGCAGGCCAACACTCTATCCACTGAGCAAACCAGTTAGGGCGAATATCACTATCTTTTCAATAGTCTTTGCTGGTTGCAATTCTGTCTCCTCCTGAGACATTTAATCCTTGGAAGATCTCAGCTCACCTAATGCATTATTTTTTCACCATTTCTACTTTCTCCTGGGAGATCTCATCTGATCACCTGGCTCTAGATATCATCTGTATGCTAACAACTCTGAGATGCATATCTTCAACTCTACTTCTCCCTGAGCTCCAGTCTCACATGTCTGTTTCCTTGGAATCACTTCCTGGATGTCCAGCAGACTACTCAATATTAACATGCTCCCTTCTCCAAACTGGTTCTTCCCCCAGCCTTTTCTATCTCAGCGAATAACATTTTTATCCCTGAAGTTGCTCAAAAACTTAGAAGTCATCCTTGATTCCATTCTCTTTTTCATCCCCTACAACCAAACCATTACTAAGTCTTATCAATTTTACCTCCAAAGTATATCACAGATCATTCACTTCTCTCCTTTTCTACCATCCTCACTCTAATCCCAACCACTGTCATCTCTCTCATAGATGACTGAAGTAGCCCCTTAAAGTATCTCTCTACTCCATCTTGCCCTTTCTAAGTCATTTTCACATAGCTGACTACCTTTTAAAAACATAAATCAGAAAAGAAATAAAAAATAAATAATAATAAAAAATAAGATAAAATAAAAACATAAATCAGATTCTGTTACCTCTTACACCACCACTTTTTAAAACCCTTAAATGGGTCCCCCATGCTTTAGAATAAAATTCAAAGTCCTTACCACACACAGGATCTCTCAGCCACTGCATGGCCTCACCTCTCCACCACCATTTGCTTTACGTTTTTGCCCTGCTCACTCTGCTCCATTCACACTGACCTTCTGACTGTTCGTTAAACAAGACATGCCTTTTGCTGCCCAGGGGACTCTGCACTTTCCATTTCCTCTGCTAGAAGTTTCTTTCCCTTGTTCTCAGTGGCTGACTGACTTACATTCTTCAGATCTCATCTCATGTGTCACTTCCTCAGAGAGCCCCTCCCTGACCACCTAGCCAAAGTGGTCTTGCCCAGCTAGCTACTTTCTACTCACTGCCTTCATGGTACAATCTATAACCACCTTGTTTGTTTACTTCATTACTTGTTTGTAAGTACTTGTTTGAATTTAAGCCACCATGAGAGCAGAAACATTAACTGTCTTGCTCACTGCTGTATGCCAGCATTTAGCATTGGGAAAGAATACTCAATAAATGGTTCCTGAAAGAAAGACGGGAGGGAGGGAGAAAAGGAGGGAGGGAGGGAGGGACAAGGAATATAAGCTATAGAAAACTCCCTAAACATTCCTATGGCAGGCAGAACAATGGTCTACAAAATATGTCTATGCCCTAATCCAGGGGTCGGCAAACCTCGGCTCACGAGCCACATGCTGCTCTTTGGCCCCTTGAGTGTGGCTCTTCCACAAAATACCATGTGCGGGCGCGCATGTACAGTGCGATTGAAACTTCGTGGCCCATGCGCAGAAGTCGGTTTTCTGCCTGGGAAAGTCTATTTTGAAGAAGTGGCGTTCGCTGAGGTCAACCCCTCAGATTGAGGACGTTTTTAGCAAAGGCCAGCTTAGGAGTACCCTAATTAAGTTAATAACAATGTACCTACCTATATAGTTTAAGTTTAAAAAATTTGGCTCTCAAAAGAAATTTCAATCGTTGTACTGTTGATATTTGGCTCTGTTGACTAATGAGTTTGCCGACTACTGCCCTAATCCCCAGGCCCCATGAATATATTAGGTTACATGACAAAGGGATTTTGGAGATGTCTTTAAAATTAAGGACCAGGAGGTGACCAAATGGGCTCATAAGAGCATGAATTCATAAAAGTTGAGGCAGGAGGCAGAGAGCTTCAATGCAAGAAGTACTCTCCCCACCTCTGCTGGCTCTGAAGATGGAGAAAGGGGGCCAGAGCCAAGAAATATGGTGGCTTCTGAAGTCTAGGAATAGATCTCAATGTGCAGATAATATAAAATGTAGTTCTTCTGGGTCTGCATTAAAAATGTTTGAGAAACACTGATCCAAATAGAAATCTGACAGTGTCCCTCTCTCTAAACCATAAAGTACAAGTTCATGGCCTACAATGGCCTCTGTGAGCTAATTCCTGTCTTTACCACCAGCCATGTCTTCCACGCCTCTCTGCTGACATTCAGCTCTCTAGTGAGACTGAACTGCACAGCTCATGCCAACTCATCCTTCTGTTCTTAGACTGGCTGAGTCTTACTTATCCCAGACACCTTTTATTCATTCATTCATTCATTCATTCATTCATTCAACAAATATGTATTAAGTTTCTATGTGCCCGGAGTTTGGGACAGAGTGGAGAAGAAGACAGAGAGAGTTTTGGCTCCCATAGGAACCAACATCCTGGAGTAGAAAGGTAGAAGACAAAGAGATAAATCACAAATTCAGATAATGACAGAAGAAAGAACACAAGGCTGAAGGGAGAGAGAGCCTGGGGAGAAAAGCAGCTGGTCAATGAGATGTTTCTAGCAGGTGAGGCTGGAGCTGAGACTGGGGTAGGCCAAGTGAAGGCTCGGGAAGAATTTTCCTGACAGAGAAAATGGTGACTGCAGAGCCAGAGGCAGGGGAACAAGCTTGCTGTGGATGAAGCACTGAAATAAGGTCACAGTGGCTAGGGAAAGTGACTATGGGAGATTGGTATGAAGTGAATTGGAGAAGGCAGGAGGCAAATCTACCATGGGCTTGTTTGCCATGGAGGGGAGCATGCATTTTACCCTCAACACTATGGGAAACCACTGGTGTTTAATTTGAAATTCCATTTAAATATTTAACTGGGTTTTAATTGGGGTTGATAGAAGATATGAATTACATTAAATGCACATACACAAAACAAACAAACAAAAAAAACCCAAAACAAAAACTAGTCTTGGCCCCTTGTATGGGGGCCAGAGTGGAAGCAAGCAGACCAGTTAGGAAGCAATTGCAGAGACCCAGGTAGGAAATGATGGTGGTGTAGATCACTGTTATAGCGGCAGAGATGGAAAGAAGTTGTCAGATCTTTGGTAGCTTTACTTAAGTCTTCAGGTCTGACAAAAGCTCATACTAGTATCTTCATAGCATCTTGCATCCTCTTATCTTAGCACCTGCCTTAAGTAGAACTGAGTTATTTAGGTATCTACCTGTCTCCTCCATTTGCTTGCAAGCTCCTCATGGGCAGAAGCCACAATCTGTGGCAGATAGTAGGCATGTGCTGAACTGAATGAAACTTTTCTGTGTTTATCTAATCCTATCTAATAAAAGGGTAATATGCAAATAACTGTCACTCTGTCACAAAGATGGCAGCGCACATAGCCCAAGATGGCGGCGCCCAGTTCTCTCAGCCCCACCGGAGTCTCCCAGTCCCAGTGGCGGGGGTTGGGGGGGTGGCGGTGGTGGCTGCTGAGAGCGGGCAGCGTGAGGGGCCTGGCAGAATGCTTGCTTCATCACCCCAGCGACAAGGCAAGTGTTACGCGTCCAGCCGCAGAGGGGCCTCTGGCCAGGCCAGGGTGCGGATGGGCCTCTGGGCTGCAGAGAGCCTCTGGGCAGCAGGCATGGAGCGGCCAGGCCCCGCAGAGAGCTACTGGCACATGGATTCATGTGCAGGGCTACTAGTTTACTTATTGTTTAGTTTTATGTAATTAAAACTACATTAAATCTTATTCTGCTACATTGTGGCTGATGTCATTAAGAAGTTTTTGTTTATTATAGTTACCTTACTTACATCATTAAAATTTGAAATATTCTCCATAAAGGAAATTATGAATTGAACTAGAATGGACAGATACATAGGATTAAACAGGTTTCTGCTTCCTAACTGCAAAGAGTGTCTACAGGGTATCTTCCAATGTGCATTGCAATTTATGAAGCTGCAACATTCTCCAAACAGTATAATATTCAATATTAAATTATTTAACTGGATGGTATAAGAATTTAAAAATATATATAATATGTATGTAGGGTATCCCCCAAATTGTATATACACTTTGAATAATTATAAATTCCAATGGGTTAAATCTGAAAAGAAAGGAACATCAATTGATCTATCAGCTTTTAGTAGTGTATACATTTTTGGGATACCCTATATATATGAAATAGGCAAAATAGAGGATCAAATTCAGTTTATATAGTTCAGACACAAACTTGATCATTTTCTCTGAATACCAGGTAAAACACCTTCTCCATTTATAAGAAACTCAGAAACCCAAAGACCTTCAAGTAAATGAGGTATCTTCCAATAAAATGAAACCCCATATCTACTGTAAACATCCTTCACACAGCCTGCCTGGAGGATCCGTATTAAAACTACAACTCTACATTGAATCAGAAAAAGAAAGAGTGTGCTGTGTCACTGACTCATCACTCCAGTTGTGATAGTTCCCAGACAGAGAAAACAATGTCTCAGTGAGGGGGGCGGGGACTAGCCAGACATAGAGCTACTGGCAGGTGGCAGAGGCCACGACTGTCTCTCGGTGAGTCTCTTCCTCCATTGCTCCAGGAAGAAGCATAAAATATGCAACGACTTCAAAAATCTTATTTTACTAGTTTAGGAAAAACCCTTACCACAGGTGATACGTTCACAGGGGGAGAAACACTTTCTACTCTGCTTTTCTTCTGTAGCACCTTATTAAGTTCCGGGGGCAGCATGGTATGGTGGAAAAGAAAAAGGCTAGCCGATCTCAGTTCCACTTTGCCTTCTGAACCATAGAGGACCATTTCCTCATTCAGACACCAGGTACCTAGACAAAGTTTTTGGGAAGATTAACATGATATTGTCTTATCGTGTCTTGGACCATAAGAATAACTAACACAAAGTAGCACCACTCCCAGGCTAGTTTTCATTTCCCCTTCTGTATCTTGTTTTTGCATCTCTTTTTAAAATCACTTATTACTTTCTTTTGTTTTGTTTTGTTAATCCTCACCAGAGGATATTTTTCCACTGATTTTTAGAGAAAGTGGAAGGGGAGAGACACTCAGAGAGAAACACTGACGTGAGAGAGACACATCGATTGGTTGCCTCCTACATGCGCGCTGAACAGGGCCAGGGATCAAACCTGCAACCCCGGTACATGTTCTTGACCGGAATCAAACCGGGACCCTTCAGTCCACAGGCTGATGCTCTATCCACGGAGAGTGCTTTCAATGCACAGGAATTGTATGTTCTGTCAGACTAAGTAAAAAATTATGTTAGACACTCTTTATTCGAACACTGACCATCAGATAATTTAATAAGTCAGAGGAAGAAGGAAGCTGAAAGGTTTGCTAGTAAATGCCATGTGCCTACTGCCCCCTTCTCTTCCCAACTTGAGTTTGGGCCACTGCAGAACAACCCTGAACCTACATCAAGGTTGGACGTCTTACAAATGCATGCAGTTCATTACCCAGTTGACTCAATGAGGCAGGGTCCAAAATCCTTCCCTTCTGGGAAAGCTACTTATAGGCATAGCTTACTGGTGCCAGATCAGTATAAAGACAACACTTTGGAGCTCATCTCTTCTACCTTCCCCATTTTACAGAGAGACAAACTGAGGCCTAGAGAAAAGAAGGAGTTTGCCAAGGGCCACACTAATAGCAGAATCCAGATCAGATCACAGTTCCCAGATTTCTAATCCAACATTACTTCAGATCCAACATGTGCGACTGTTTCTGATCAGTAGCAACAGTAGCAGCATAATACTAAAAGTAATGCTACAGTTTGTTGATCTCTATGTCCCAGGCACCACACACATTACAAACACAATATTCATGATACCGGTACATCTAGTAAAGTACTTATAATACCTAATGCGTGTGATCTTCAGAAGCTTGAATCATTATTTCTGATACCCACTCCCCTCAAAAGAGGATGAGACAACAAAACCCCATGCATATACAAGATGTAAGTATCTCTAAT